TCACTACAGGACCTCCAGCCTACATCTGTGCCTGGCAAATGACTACAGTTCCATAATTCATGCAATATATGAGTGAAGAAAAATGACTAAAGAGACAAAGAGATCATTTGGCAATGGCTCTCAAAATTCCCAATGCACATATCCTTTGACCCGGCAATTCCACTTCAAACAAGATATTCTACTGATATTACTATCGTAAACATGCAATCAGTTGTACAAGGATATTAATTGCAGCAACTGTTTATAAGAGCAAAAGTTCAGCAACAGTCTAAATCCCCATCATAAGGAAATTGTTAAATATCGTATATCCACATAACAGCATACCACGTCGGTAATATAGGAAAAAGCAGCTATCTGGGTGGCTGACTGCACCACTGACTTACCACCAGGAAAGCTGCCTAACGCCAAGGAAATAATATGGGCTTGTCCTGGAATGAGACAGGCTCAGATGTGAATCCAGGCCCTGCTGCTTCTTGGCTATAGGGCCATCAGGAAGGTCCTTCTTTCTTTCAAACTCATTTTTCTTCTTCTGTTAAACAGGAGGGGGAGAAGGTTGTAGTGATGTACATAAAGCAGAGAACTCACAGCCTGGTACACAGTGGGCCCAAGGTCAATCGAAGGCCCTTTCTTTTCCTTTTTTAAGAAATGTCCACCTCTGAGGGTTGCCTCAAGGTGAGAATGGCGATGGTGGGCGGTCTGGGGTTGAGAAATTCAGATAATAAAAACAGATATGGCCTGAGATGAAGAGGTAAAAACAGACACCGACAGACATAATACAGAGATGGCCCGTCATGTGTATGTCAAACACCAACAATCTCTCTGGAGCACTCAAGCCAGTCTGTGTGATTGGTGTTTTCTCCTCGCCTGTGGCAGCCTGGAGAAATAGTTCCACCTGGCACCGCTGCTGGGGAAATGGCAGCAGGGATGAGGCCCTTGAAGGGAGGGGGCTGCTCAGAATCAACCACTATCATCGTTGTACATCATAAAATAATGACAATAAGTAGTGCTACTATGTATTAATAAAAGGCACTGTTTTAGGCACTTTTCCCCATTAAACCCTGGCAGCAACATTGCAAAGTGTCATCATACCCATTTGACAAAAGGGGACACACAAGCAGAGAGCATTAAAGGCACGTGGCCAAGGTCAGCAGCTACTTACGTAAACCCAACACACGCTCTTAACCCCAATGCTTTGCTATTGTGTAACAGCAGGAAGGAAACTGGGAACCGTTGCTTTAGGAATGGAAAATGGAAACCACAGGTGGAGACTTGCTTTTATGTGTTCCCCTTTGGCTGCCTGAATTTTGTCAGGATGTACATATATTACCTGTTCAAATATAATTTTTAAGAACACTTTAAATAAGATTTCAAGTAAAAAGTGGGAACTTTCCCACTCACCTGTGTATCCTCCCACGTGGTAACCACCAAGGCTAGCTAAAAAGGCGCCAAAAAGCCGTTTGGCTGCGCATGCGCTCTCGTAGGCCGCACTCTCCGCCCAGTACTCCCCTTAAGCGCGCGCAGGGCTCCGCCTACGGGCGTTTGAATTTGCTACACTTGTCTGGATCACTGCTCCACTGCGGCCCCGAGGGTTTTAAAACTTGGTTCTGACCCCTGACTAGTCCGCGTCCCCCCGAACTTTCAGGATAAAGCCTGACATTAGAGGCCCTTCAGGATCTGGCCTGCCCACTCTGCTGCCTCATCTCCCACCCCAAGGAGACCTAGAATCCAAGAGAGTCTGGACCTTTCTCCCGGGGTTCCCTCCCCATGGAGTGCCCTTGCCTTCGAGGTCCAACAGGACCTGCGCCCTTTCCTAGGTGATTTGATCTAGCAGTCTCCCTCCACAGACCGGGATCTCTTCAGGGCACACGCCAGGTCTGATTCATTCATGTGTTCTCCGCACTCACTCAGGACACTGAAATTCCTTCCTGCCGCCCCACCCCACGGCATCCCGCCAACATTACTGAAGAGGCAGAACTCGACCCAAATTCCCTGGAGCCACCCGCCATCCCTCCTTCACTCCCTCTTCTCTGCTGACCCGCCTCCTTCTTTCCCCCCTCCCTTCCCGCTCCTTCAACCCCAAATATGCGCACGCGCATTGAGTCAGAGCTATGGCGCTCTCCCGTCTCGGCTTAGTAATCCGCATGCGTGCTGAAGCCAATCAAGTCCATCAACGCATGCTCAGCCCGGCGCTCACGTTCCGTTCTCGCGCGTTTAGCCCGCAGCGCATGCGCAGGAACAGTAGCCCGCGGGACCTGCTCTTTGCTTGTCCCCGCGATACCTCCTCCTCTCTTCCTCCTTCAGGGCGGCCTTCCTTAGGGTCTGCATCCGAGACGCCGAGGCCGGTTCCAAAGTGGAGGGTGCCCGCTTTCCTTCCCTCACCCATGCTCTTGGCCCCTAGACGCCATTTACAGTCGGGTGGCTTGTGGTAGAACCTCCCCGCCCCCACCGGACTCCCGTCACGGGAGAGCGCGCGCTGCGCCCCGGGAACCAATCAACAGCCGCCTTAGGTAAGGGGCCCGCGAGCCCGCGCGAGCCCGCGCGAGGCTCGCGCACCTCCGGGGGGCGGGGCGCGCCGGCAGGCCCCGCCCCCTTGACCATACAACTGCCGTTCCGACGTCTCTGCGGGTGCGTGGAACCGAGTAGGGAGATGGCGATGCTCGTTAAATACCGGGTTGGCGGGAGTTGGGACGGGGGACACAGTAATATGTAAATAGAAACTTCTAGTTCTGGGAGACCCTAATAGATCCTGCAGACTGCCCATAAAGTACTGAAGAGGTCCCTCCAATATCGTGCGAAGAGAAACTTAAATTTCTGGAAATACCCTCATAGAAGATCCGTGAACAGATTCTTAAATATTAGGGCGGTCCTCCAAATAATGTGCAAATAGAAGCTTGAATTGTGGGGTTCCCCGTGGGAGGCCTCGTAAGCCAATGCCTAATTATGGGTGGGAGGCCCCCATGTAGGAGCCTGTAAATATATGCTTACTAGGGAGTCTTAGAAAATGTGGAAATAGACTATTAAATTTTGGGGTGGGAGTGCCTCGTGAGGGGGGGCATAAATACATCGGAATCGGGAGTCCCCCCCCAAAATTTACAGATAGGTTCTGGGAGATCCTCAAAGGGAGTGTGTGAAGAGATGCTTAAGTATTGAGGAAGCTCTCCAAAGAATGTGTAAATTAGACTCTTAATTTCTGGGCGATCACCACCATTCTTGTAAATAGACACTTCAGTAGCTTTGGAGGACTCCCCAAAGGAGCCTGGAAATAGCATTGGAGGTCTCCAGAATAAGGCACAAATGGACATTATTTGCAAGGGAAGGGGATCCTCCTAGGTGTGTACACAGACTGGGGCAGAATCCCCTTTGAGGCATGAAAACAGACATTTAAGGACTGGGGAGGTTTTCAGAATGTTGTGTAAACAAACATTTAATTGCAAGGGTGGGAGGAGTCGCAAGTTCTGGGAGAATCTCCATCGGAGACTGTAAGCAATCATTTAAGTGCTAAATGAATCGTTTTCCATAAGTGTCTGTAAACAGACCCTTGTCCTCTGTCTGGGAAGGCAGTCTTCAACCCAATTTGTGGCTGGGGGAGAGGTCATGCAGAACAGTGAGAGAACTAGACAAGCTTCTGCCTGGCTAGCAGAATCACTCCTGCATCCTGTAAACAGATACTTGAGTTCTGGACAGTCACAGGGACCTGTTTATGTCATTATGTACTTAGGTGGGGGTGGAGAGGATTCATAGAGTGATCTAACAGGCACTTAAGAGCTAAGTGAGGGTCAGCAAACTTTCTGTAAAGGGTCAGAGAGTAGTTATTTTAGGCTCTGCAGACCGTACTATCTGTCTCAACTGCTCAACTCTGCCACTGCCATAGACAGTTTGTAAAGTGATGGATGTGGCCCTCTTCCAATAAAACTTCATATTTACAAAGACAGAAGGCAGACCAGATTTGGCCTGCAGGCCACAGTTTATGAACCTGACCTCTGAGCTAGAGCAGATAGCACCATAGAGTTGGGCAAACAGTTAAGTACTCAAAGACCACCCTAGAATGGTGTGTAAACAACTGGGGAAACTCTCCCTAGGGACCCATAAACAAATATTTAAATGGTGGAGAGTGGGTTGCATGGGTAGCCATACATTATGTAACATTTCAAATAGATTAAGCACTGGTGAGACGTTGAAGTGAAATTCAGAGTGTGAGGGATGGCAGACCTCAGCCTCAGCAATGGAAGACAGACAAACATTGAAAGATAGTGAGATGCCAGGTGAAAGTAGGCCTTCCATGCTGGAGCACTGACCTCACATATGCCAGTAATGGGTAATCAAAAGAATAGTTGTTGGACTGAGGACCATGTTACTTATTTGTAAGGAAATGCCTTGTTGCATTCTAGGAAGAAAAATACCCCTTTTTTATGTTAACCTGCCCCTTTGAGTTGTATTTATGTTGGAGCATTTCAATAGGTGGGAATAGTTTTGGCTACAAGTAAGAAGTAGAAGTGTATTTGTTTCTCACTGCCTCCAGAATTAGGCAATTCAAGGTTCATATGGGACCCCTCCAACCTTGTGTCTTGTTTCACTGTGCCTTCCATTAAGTTGCCTTATAGCCCAAGATGGCTGCTTGAGCACCAACTTCCACACATTCCTTCCAGCCAGGGGGAGGAAGGGGCAAAAGACATGTGCCAGCATCTGTGAAGGGAAGTTTCTGAAAGCGCCAAACCACACTTCTGGTGTCATACCACTGGCCGGAAAGTACAGTCATGTGGCCATACCTCACTGCAAACAAGACTGAGAAGTGTGTTCTGGATAGCCATGGACCTAGCACAGAACTGAGGGTTTTACTTCTTGGGAAGAAGTCAAGAATGGATATTGGGAGCCAGCTGGCAGTTGCTGCCACAGAGCTCTCTTTTGAAAGGAAAGTCCTTGATATAGTCAAGGGTAAGCCAGATAGACTGGGAAGAGGCTCTCTTCATCCTGAAATTCCCTCATTCCCTCCATAGGCGACCATGTCTGAGTCTGGGCACAGTCAGCCTGGACTCTACGGAATAGAGCGGCGACGACGGTGGAAGGAGCCTGGCCCTGGTGGCCCCCAGAATCTCTCTGGGCCTGGTGGTCGGGAGAGGGATTACATTGCACCATGGGAAAGAGAGAGACGGGTGAGTATCTTGGACCCAGGAGCAGCATCCACGTATCCATCTGTTACACCAATGTTTATTGAGCACCTGCCATGTGCCAGGGCCTAACCCAGACGCTGCGGACGTATCTGTAAACCAAACAGACTGCCCTCATGGAGAAAGAAGGGGTGGAGAGTGAGAAAGGGACTGTTTGAGATAACGTGGTCAGAGAAGACTGCTCTGAAGAGGTGACTTGAGCAGAGAGCTGAAGGAGATAAGGGAACAAGCCATGCCAAATTCTGAGTCGAAGAGCATTCTATACAGAAAGAACAGCAAGTGCAGAGGCCCTGAGATGGCCTGGATCTGGTGTGTTCAAGGGGTAGCCGGGAGGCCAGGATGGCTGCAGTGGATGAGGAAGGAGGGAGAGTGATAGCAGAAGAGGTCAGAAGGGTAACTGGGGCCAGATCGTGTAGAACCTGATAGGCCTTGCAGAGAGCTTTGGATTTCACTGAGTGAAACTGGCACTGGAGGGTTTGAGCTGGGAGGCGCCATGAGCTCATGTTAAGTAGTAACAGTAACTGTTAATACTGAGCGGCAGACAGTGCGCCGGTGCTCAGCACATGCTTTACATCCTGTGGCTCTTCCCACACCCTTGCAGCTACCCCATGAAGTAGAACCTCTGATAGATCTGATTTTTCACCTCACAGGTGAACTTGCCCAAAGTCACAGAATCAGTAAGCTTTGGGGCCAGGATTCAGATCCAGGTCCAGCTTACTCTGAAGCAAAGCATCACTCTACTTGCTGTAGACAGTGCCCTTGTCTGGGAATCAGGAGGCCTCGGTTTGTGCCCAGGCCCTGCCTTACTGTTCTGCTCTTGTGCTTAAGTGACTCACTGCCAGAACCTGCCCCAGGTTCTTCAGGGCCCTGCCCACCTCAGAGAAGTGTGGTAGGGTGAAGGTAGGTAACAGTTGGGACCAGTTTCTGAGCTGTAAAACTGTGCACACGTGAAGAAGAATCTGCTCACAGTGAGCCGGGTTCTTGCTTGTTCCTTCTCTTGGGTCACAGCGTAAATGAGAACATACAGTCTCTCTTCCTTCCACACACATCTTTCTGAGGATTGTTACCATCTGTCTATGCTACAGGTTTAATCCCTGAACAAGCAACTTCCAAATCTCATCTTGGTCTCTGACTTTGCTACTGGGCCTGGCAGCCTCCTGACTCGCATGTGGGCTCCTCACATCTTCCATGTCCCCTGCCGACCTCAGCATCTTCCCGCCATTTCTCCTCCCCTATCAGTGACAGCCCACTGGGCCTCATGCTGGACACCCCTCTTTCCCCTCCCCTCCTGCACTAGTCAGACACCAGTGCTATACATGCAGTGAATATATGCCTCCTGAATATATCTATCCATCAACTCCTCTCCACCCTCACAGCATCCATCCCAGCTACAAAGTGAGCATCCCAAATCCCAAATCCAACATGGTGCTCAAAGGAAATGCATATTGGAGCATTTCAGATTTCAAGTTTTCCGATTTGGGACGCTCAGCTGGTAAGTAGAATGCAAATAGTGCAAAATCTGAAAAAATCCAAAACGCTTCTGGTCACATGCATCTGAAATAAAGGATACTCAGCCTGTATCATCCACTGCTTTCTAGCTTACTGGAAGCCAAACCCTCTCCTTGAAGAAACTTTTCTTCTTTTCAAAGCATTTTTGTATCATGTTTGTTCTTCACCATGAGCCAGTGAAGTGATCAAGGTTTACTTAAGTGTCCTCAATATATTGGCGAAGAAACAGACCCAGTGAGGGGCCAAGACTCTCCCGAGGTTGCTCAAGGAAGCAGAGAAGGAACAGGACTCAGACTCAGGTTTCTCCCCGCTCTTAAGCAGATTGGAGGTGAGTCAGGGAGTCACGAAGAGGGCAAGGTGTGGGAATCAGTCTGTCATCTTGGCTAGAGCAGGAGCGGGGCTCCCGGGGAGAGGTGATCAGGATAGCAGGTGCTATCAGCAGCTCTCAGATAGTGAGCACCTGCCATGTGTCAGGTGCCACGCCGGACAGTTTATGAGTTCTATCTCCTTTCATCCTTATGATAATCCTGTGAAGAAGGATTTCCCCGCTTGCCAGGTGAGATAACTGAGGCATAAGTGAAGGTAGTTCCTTATTTGTGTCCACAAAGCCAACAAGAGGCGGTAACAGGTTTGGACTCAGATCTGTGTAGCCCCAGAGTGCGAGCTCCTTTCTACTCAGGCTTACTATCTAGCAGAGGCAACTGAACATAATGGCTGGGGATATGGTTCTAGAGCCAGGCTGCCTGGGTTCAAGTCCTGGCTCCATTGCTTTATTGGCTGTGTGACTTTGGGCAAGCTGCTTAACCTCTCTGGACCTCAGCGTCTTCATTTGTAAAGTAGGGGTAATAATAGCACCTATCTCGTAGAATTGGTAGGATCAAGGGAGTCCATTTAGAATAGTAGGTGGCATAAAGGCTATCTAGAATGTCCAGGAGAGCCAGGGAGCCATTCCTGAGTAACTGCCCTCCCTCACCACAGGATGGCAGCGAAGAGACAAGCACGTCTGTCATGCAGAAAACCCCCATCATCCTCTCAAAACCTCCAGCAGAGCGGGTGAGCAGGGAAGAACCTCCAGAAGGAGGGAGGAGGGGAGTGATTAGGGAAGGGATCGCCCCCATTGACTGAAACCTTCTTAACCCCATAGTCAAAGCAGCCACCACCTACAACGGCCCCTGCTGCTCCGCCTGCTCCAGCTCCTCTGGAGAAGCCCATCGTCCTCATGAAGCCACGGGAGGAGGGGAAGGGGCCTGTGGCCGGGACAGGTGCCTCTACCCCTGAGGGCACCGCCCCACCACCTCCTGCAGCCCCTGCACCACCCAAGGGGGAGAAGGAGGGGCAGAGACCCACGCAGCCTGTGTACCAGATCCAGAACCGGGGCATGGGCACTGCCGCACCAGCAGCCATGGATCGTGAGTTGGGGCCGAGCAGGATTGGGTTGGGAACTAGGAGCCCCCTCACACACAGACCTTTACCGCATCCTCTGTCTCCTTTCTCCTGTCTCCAGCTGTTGTGGGCCAGGCCAAACTGCTGCCCCCAGAGCGCATGAAGCACAGCATCAAGTTGGTGGATGACCAGATGAATTGGTGCGACAGTGCCATCGAGGTACTAAGAGGGGTCCCTCCCTGCCTGAGCTTCCCCAGGCCCCAGGTCCCATATCCTGTGTTCCTCCACTCCTACCTTCAGCTCTTGGTAGGCAGCACCAGAGTTGACAGCTTTCAGGCAAGTGCAGCTATGAGAATCAGAAAGTTCTCACCTAACCGGAGCTGAATTTCAACTAGCCGTCTCCTGGACCCTGCTGCAGTACCTTTCCTGTTTGAAATTCATGCTGTCCCCATGTTAACTGTTCTGAATGTTCTGAATGTCACTCCCCAGATATCCCCCCCTCCATTCATTCCAGCAGCCCTGCTCTAGTTCAGACCTCACATTCCTGCATCATCATTTTTACCTCTAGTCTCAGTCCTCATACCCCTCTCCTGCTGCTTTCTCTCCTCCAGACTTGTCACATCATACCCCTGCTCAGATTCTCCCAGAGGTGTCCCTTCTCCTTCCTCAGCAGCCTTATTAGGACAACCTCAGGCTCATTTATTACCTGGCCATGTCCACTCTCAAATGGATGTCAACTGGGGAGTTTAAAAAAAAAAAGCCAGGGGTGGGGGCAAGGGCAACGTAACCTAAACATTTGTACCCCCATAATATGCAGAAATAAAAGAAAAAATCTATATGCATAAATAAAAAAACAAATAAAAAGGCACCAGTGTCCAGACCCTACCTTTCAGTACTGTCAAGTAGAACTTTCTGCAATGATGAAAATGTCCTATATTTGCACTGTCTAGATGATAGCCACTATGCCCATATGTGACTTTTGAGTGCTTGAAATGTAGCTAGTACAACTGAAGAACAGAATTTTTAATGTTAATTTAAATAGCCACATATGATCAGCGCCTACCTGTGAACAGGGCAGCCCTACGTAGTCTGATTTAATGTGTTAAAGCACAGTAAATCCTGGTTGGGCCCAGGATTCGCTTGTTTTTTTTTTAATTCTCCAGGTGGTTCTAAGGAGCCACAGCCACGGTGGTTCAGGACACAGATGTTTTCCTTGAGGAGAGTCTCTTACACCCCCTGGTGGTGAAAGTCAGCAGAGCTGGTGACGCAGAGATGAAGGTCTCAGATTTCATAGACAGCATTAACAAATGTTAAAAACAAAATAAAACAAAACACAGGCAAGAGAGCCTGGATAGTCTGATCTCCGCTTTCTGCACACCACTCCTTTTCTTGTGTTTCCCCATGTTTTCCCAGCCAGCCTGAAGTAGGAAGCCTCCCAAGAGTCCACCAGAGTAGCTCTCACTTACCAGGTCCTGTCTTCTCTAACCTGCTCTTCTGTTCTGTGCCTCTTATCTGCTCTTCCCCAAGATCACATTTTCCTTTTTCCCACTGTGTTCCAGCCACACTGACCTCCTTTTAGCTTCTTGACTATGCCAGGCTTTTTTCTGCTTCAGAGTTCTTACAGATACTGTTTTTTGTGCCCAGAACATTCCACATAACCCTACCATGACAGAATAGAGGCCCTATGCCCAGTTTAGGGGATTGAGACCATAGAAGTTTTTATTCATATCTGATAAGGCAGATGGGCCAGCCACAGAGGTGTCTGGGGTCCCCCATCTCACTCCAGCCCCAGCTACTGACAGATTTGTGAGGGTCGTGTTCCTCTATCTTCCCGCAGTACCTGTTGGATCAGACTGATGTGTTGGTGGTTGGTGTCCTGGGCCTCCAGGGGACAGGCAAGTCCATGGTCATGTCGTTGTTGTCAGCCAACACTCCAGAGGAGGACCAAAGGTGAGTGGGGTGTGGAGGCTAAGAGGGAGGTGGGCACCTACCATGGGCAGGGGCAAAGTGGGTCTGGATGTTACAAATGGTGTTACCAAAGGACTTTGGGAAGCTGCTTTTCTTCTTTAGGTCTCGATGTCTTCGTGAGATGAAGATGATTATGGGCTGGACAAAACCCATGTAGTTTCAATGCAACCAACCCTATTCCTCCTTCCCTTCCTGCCTTGCGCCAGGAGATGGTACAGGCCCCAGCCAGGAAGTGGGATGATACAGTCATTAAGGCTTTGGATTTAGGGCCACCTCAGGCTCAGCCCTACTACTTATCAGTTGGTTGACCTTGGGCAGATCACTTTACTGCTCAGTGTCCCACATCCATGTGGATTTTGGGAGGATGAAGTAAGATCAGGAAGGCAAAAGTTAACGAGCACCTGGCACAGAGCAAATACAGGATGGTGGCTGATACGATCAGGGACATAGAGTGGGGAAAAGAGATCTGGATACAGGGAGTGGGTTCAATACCAGCCTCAGCCCCGCTGTATCACCTTGGGAAATGGCTCTGCCTCTCTGGGCTGGGGAGGACCAGGCATGAGGATTCCCTGCTCAGAACAACATTCTTGAGTAAAGATGGGATATGATTAAGAAAATAAAGGGAAGCCAGGCACAGTGACTCACACGTGTAATCCTAGCACTCTGGGAGGCCAAGATGGGAGGATTGCTTGAGCTCAGGAGTTTGAGACCAGCCTGAGCAAGAGTGAGACACCATCTCTACTAAAAAAAAAAATAGAAAAATTAGCCGGGCATTGTGGCACACACTTGTAGTCCCAGCTACTTGGGAGGCTGAGTCAGGAGGATGGCTTGAGCCCAAGAGTTTGAGGTTGCAGTGAGCTATGATGATGCCACTGCACTCTTATTTGGCGTAACTGAGCAAGACTCTGTCTGGAAAAAAAAAAAAAAAGGATAAAGTCACAGGAGCAGATTTTGAGGAGGGGATAGCTTAAGAAGTAGGGCCTGAAATGGGACAGAGAAAGAGAGGGAGAAAGGCAGGGATTAGGGAATGGGGGAGATATACAATCTAATTAAGGAAGAATCAGAATGGGGAATGAGAAGGGCTAGTAGCCACTTCAGGTGGTAAGAAACAGACTCAAGTCTTCTTTAAAAAAGAGAGGTTTATGGCCAGGTGCGGTGGCTCACGCCTATAATCCCAGCATTTTGGAATGTTGAGGTGGGAGGGTTGCTTGAGGCCAGGAGTTTGAGGCTACAGTGAGCTATGATCACACCACTGCACTCCAGCCTGAGTGACAGAGCAAGACCCTGTCTCTGAAAAAAGAAAGGGCGGTGGAAGGGCAGGTGGATATTACACTGGACTCCACATACAGGCATCAGGAAGTTCATAAACCCCCCTAACAACGTATGCAGAATTTTACACACATCTGCAATCGGACTTCTAGGGGAAAGGTCCATTCTTTTCACCAGATCTCGGAGGGAGCTGACGGAGACCCAGAAAAGGTTAAAAAAAAAACTCACTGTCCTAAGAATCTACATTCACTAGAACCAGAGCTGCGAGGATCCTCTGCCTCTCTCCCAGGGCAGCTCCATCCCCCCTTTTCTCTGCTCACTTACGACTTCAGCTCATCTTGGTTCCACTGTGGAACAACTCCAGCTCTCTCGAATAACATTCTTTCCATTTCAGCTTCTACCCCCAACTGGCAAAATTTCCGCATGGCCTGGATTCCTGGACTAGAGAGAATCCTATTGGCTCAGCTTGTCTTTTTATCCACCGACTTTGGTACCAGCTCTTTTCATCAGGTCTCCTAGGTGTTACCTCCTGATTCTGTTTATAATTCATCTATTTCTCCCTTCCTTCATCCCCACCTCCTTGGTCCAAGCCATTAATATCTCCCCTGGAGGATGCCAAGAGCCTCCTCTCTGGTCTTCCACCTTTAGTTCAATTCAGCAAATACTGTGTTTATTGAATGCTTACTTTGTGCCAGGCACTGTTTTAGATGCTGGGGATACAATGGTATAACTAAAAAAATCCGCCCTCATGGGGCTTATATTTTAATGGAGAAGATAGTAAACAAAATAAATATGTTATTTGGCATGTTAGAAGATGATAACAAAACAGGGAAAGAGGTTATAGGGAGGGGTGGTAGGCTAGATTACAGTTTTAAATAGGTTGCTGAGGGAAGGCCTCACTAAGGGGAACATTTGGGAAAAAACATCCTTGGAGGAGGTAGCACATTCCAGTGAGCGGGAGTGGCAAAGCCTCTGAGGTGGAAACTTGCCCAGTGTGTGCAGAATAGCGTGAGGCCGGGGAGCTGGAGCAAAGTGAGCAAGAAGGGGAGCTGTAGGAGGAGAGGTCAGAGAGGCAAAGGGAGACCCCAGGGCACTGGGTCTCGTAAGCCCGTCTCCACTCTTTGCATCTTACAGTCCTTGCCACATGGCAGCAAGTGGGAACTCTCAAACCAAAATCTGATCCTGTCACTCCTCTACTCACATCTCTTCAGGGCCTTCTCCAGGTTTACAGGCCAAAGCCCCAGCTCCTAACCATGCCCCACAAGGGTCTGTGTAGCCTCTGCTTGCTCCCATCTTCCCTGGCCCCCATCTTTCTGCTCTTATCATACTGGTCCTTGGTTCCCTGTACAAGCCACCTGTCTTCTGCCTGATGTACCATTCTCCGCGTTCACCCCCCTCCTTGCTCGCACCCCACCACTACCCCCGCCTGACTGACTCCCTCTGTCTCTCTCACCCTTAGCATCATCATTTCCCTCTTCAGGGCCACCCTTCCCCGCTCCACCCAGTAAGTTATCTGCACTTGGAACATTGCATGCCTCTGCCTTCTGACACCCACAGTTACTGATTTCTGTTGATTTGTAAGGTAGACCAGAAGTTCCATGGAAGCGGAGACTTTTTCTTATTCACTGCGCTATCCTGCTATCTGGCAGATAGGAGGTTTTCAGTATAATGTTGGTTAAGTGGGAGGATGCCTGCTCTGTGTCAGACGACATATTAAGCATCTCTGGGAGATAGAAATTTCCCTTCAAGAGGTAGGTACTACTTTACAGATTGAAAAAGATAAAATCACTTCATCCAAGTCACAGAGTCACCAAGTTAAAGACAGTGGTTTAGGGCAAGGCCCACCTCTGCTTGCTGTGCCCTCGTATCCCTAGCACCCAGCACAGGTAGAAATGAGGAAGATGTGCCTAACGGGGAAAACTGGGAACCAAGACACCAAACTACCTCTCAACATGGGGGTGGAGGGCTTTCAGTCCTGCGTCTCCAGCACCTGGCATCTCGCAGGTGCATTGGTAATTAATAGCTAACAGTTATATATCACTATATATCAGGCACTATTCTAAGGGCTCTAGATATGTTAACCTCACAGTAATCCTAAGAGATTTGATTTCCTCATTTTACAGATGAGGAAACCGAGTAGAAGGAGGTTAAGGAATTTGCCTAAAGCCCATGTAGCCAGGAAGAGGCAGAGCTGGGGTATGAATCCCAGCAATCTAGCAGAGTCTCTGCTCTTAAAGTCCTCAGTCTACTGGCTTCATTAATTGAGCTAGTTAATCTACTTAAGGGTAGGAGTAAAGTCATCTGATAGAAAACCCGTCCCTGCCCCAGACATGGACCACAGATGAAGGCTCAGTGAGCAGGCAGGGACCACGTTCACGTGCTCAGTTCTGAGTCTTTCTTTCGGAATGTCAAAGGTCAGGAACTGGAAATCTCATGTACCACCATGTGCTCCTCTCCACAGGGCGTATGTTTTCCGGGCACAGAGTGCTGAAATGAAGGAACGAGGAGGCAACCAGACCAGTGGCATTGACTTCTTTATTACCCAAGAGCGGATTGTTTTCCTGGACACACAGGTGCCAGCCCCCACTTGCCCCACCCTGCCACATGCTGCATTCAGCCCCATCCTGGGATATTTTTAAGTCAGAACCCCGCATGGATTCCGTGTGCTTCCAGTGACACCATGGGTGCCCTTGAGCAAGTCGTATCTTTTCTTGGCCTTTAGTCTCTTCTTGTCACATTTTGCCCCTGTCCCGTTCACCTTCTGCAAAATAGCCTTCAAGTGTAGTGCTTAAAAGTGTGGGCCCTGGAGTCTGTTCAGATCCTGCCTTTTAATTTTTACCAGCTGAGTAACTGTAAGTTTTAACACCCTTAACTTCAGTTCTTCCTCTGTAAATAGGGATGATCATTGTACTCAGCCTCTTAGGAGTTTCAAGGATTCAGTAGAACACTCCAGACAAAGTGCTTGGCCAGGACCTGGCACAAGGTTATTGCTGAGGCTTGTCACTGTCATTAGAACTGGCCTGTCATATGTTTGCCTCGCAGTTTTCCTCGGCTTGTCTCTTGCTTTCAGACTAAGTCCAGATTCCTCAGCCTGGCATTTGGAGTTGTACGGCTCGACTCCTTCAGACTGTCTCTCCTCACCCTCTGGAGCAGCCACCAGCGCCACCACCACACACCCCACAGTCCTCGCTGTGGTCTCTCTCCTCTCTGGGCTTTCCACATCCTGTTCTCTTTACCCCAAAACACCAACGAACTGTGCAGCTGTGGTCAAGTTATTTAACATTTTGGTTCCTCAGTTTTTTTAAGTGGAGAAAACCAGTTGCCTACATCACAGGATTTTTGTGAGGTTTTAATGAATTAATACAAGTCAAGTCCTAATGACAGCACCCAACACAAATTAGGTGCTAAATGCTCTTAGCTGTTCATATTGTTATCAGTACCATAGTCTCTCCCGTTGCCTTTCTGCCTGGCTAATGCCTCCTGCTTCCTGAAGATTCCTCTGGGGAGTCTTCCAAACTGTTGCACATGTGCACCTCCCTTCATAGCACGTGATTTGCCACAGTCTCATTGCCACAGTGTACGCTCCTACTCCCCACCTGCCTGGAGCTCTTCAGGGCAGGGCTTTGCCTCTGTGGATCCGAGCTATGGCACACAGGGCCTGGCCCATCGTTGGTGGGACAGAGTTCTGGTCACTGTGGGCATTGATGGCACACAGAGTAGAAAACCTACAAATGTGACATGAGGCCTGTGTGCCAGGCCCTGTGCAGGGACCACCAGGACCTAGAGACAAACCAGCTGTGGGCTGAATTGGAGACCCTGAGGGAGAGGACCCAAGTTAACAAAACCAGACAGAACAGAGCACTGCTCAATGTTTGGAGTTTTAGAGAGTGAGCAGTTGTGAAAGCCCCTTTCTAAAAGAATTTCACTCACTGCGGTAAGAAGTCAATAGACTATCAAGTTAATTTAGCTCTTGTAGTTTTTCAATTGACAGTTTCTTTTAAAAAAAAGTTTGGCGTAGTGTTACAACTCTTTTAGAATTTGTCTAGCAGGTTTTCTGGTCCTCACCGGAAGACCCCCCCCCAACCCCACGAAAATTTGAAAAAAAAGGTTTGGTGAGCTGACAGCCTATTCTTTTACATGCACTGATGCAATTTTTAAAATCCTCACCAATTTTCGCACTAATCATTGTTATTTGACCTAAGTAATTATTTTAGCAAAGTTTTGAAAGCATGTGAAACAAATAACAACAAAAAGAGTCCTTAAGTGACATAACTCATTCAAATAAATGTTAAATTTATTAGCACTAGGAAATTTCTTCTCTTTGGGCATGAGGCACTTGAGAGCAGCGATGATTTGTAAAGGAGCTGGGGAAGCGTATCTGCTGTAAAATTTCCTTTTTAGTTTCCTCTTGCTGACTAACTCTGCTGATTAGAAATTGCCTGCTTGTGTTTCTGACCCGTTTTGTCCTGAGATAGGCAAGGTATTTGCCTTCAGCATGTGGAACTTGGGTAGCTGTGACCAGCCCCTTCCCTGACACTCTCTTCTCTTCCTTGCCCCAGCCCATCCTGAGCCCCTCCATCTTGGACCATCTCATCAACAATGACCGCAAACTGCCTCCGGAGTACAACCTTCCACACACTTACGTTGAGATGCAGGTGAGGGAGCCGAGCCAGGCCCGGGGATGAGGTTTTACACCCCCAAGCCCAGCCTCCCAAGATCTGTGATGGAGAGCTGGGTATGGGTTGTTGACTTAGTTTCTGCTTCATAAGAGCCCCGGGCGCCCCAAGGGCTGCAGGAAGAGGGCAGCATTGAGAGTCAGAACTGGCTCAACTCCTGGCTCTGGTCCTCAGGCAAGTCATTTCCCGCCCACTGCCCCTTTAAGCCTCAGCATCCACCTGTGTAAAATGGGAGTATAATTCCTACCTTTCTTGATTTAGGGATGGACTGTAAGGGAAGTGCCAGCACAGTGCTGGGCACATGATTGCTGCTTAAAGGGTCTGAGGCCCTTGCCCTACTACCCCTGAGCTGAGTCCTAGGATTAGTGACCCCAGTCTGGGCAAAAGGGACCCTCAACTCTGTTGTCCCTTCCTACCCACAGTCTCTCCAGATCGCTGCCTTCCTCTTCACAGTCTGCCACGTGGTGATTGTCGTCCAGGACTGGTTCACGGACCTGAGTCTGTATAGGTGAGGAGCTGGGGGAAGGGAAGGAGTGAGGCAGGAGACAGCCACAGGGACTGAGCCACTGGCCCAAAGTCTCACAGGTTTTACGCAGCAGCCAGAAGGACCCTTTTAAAATGTAAGTTGGGGCCAGGCTCAGTGGCTCAAGCATATAATCCTAGCACTCTGGGAGGCCAAGACCGGTGGATTGCTTGAGGTCAGGAGTTCAAGAGCAGCCTGAGCAAGAGTGAAACCCCATCTCTACTAAAAATAGAAAAATTAGCCAGGTGTCATGGTGTGCGCCTATAGTCCCAGCTACTCAGGAGGCCGAGGCAAGAGGATTGCTCGATCCCAGGAGTTTGAGGTTGCAGTGAGCTATGATCACACCACTGCACTCTACCCAGGGCGACAGGGCGAGACTCTGTCTCAGAAAGATAATAATAATAAAATAAAATAAAATGTAAGTTGGAGCAGTCAACCCCACCTAAACCCCCCTCAAAGCATGCACACGCGCGCGCGCACACACACACACACAGAGCCCTCCACTGACTGGACATATTTATCAGAATATCTCTCCCTGCATGGCTTACAAGGTCCTACACCCTCTGGTCACCTTGCTGATGGTTCCCACTGCTTTGCCTCACTCCCTTCATTAAAGCCGTAGTGGCCTCATGGCTGTTCCTCCTGCACCTCAGGAGCTCTGTGCTCATCTCTCAGCTGGAAACACTCTTCTGTAGATCTTCTCGGACTCCTTCCCTCATACCATTCAGGCCAACCTCAGGCTTTCCCTGACCATCTAACATAGCATCCCTGTTACTCTCGCCTTCTTCTTCCCTGCTATGTTTCCTTCATTGCACTCGCCTTTCCCCATCAGACCGTTACAGCTCTCCTTATGATGCCTCTCCCCCATTAGAATGTAAGCCCCAGGAAGGCAGAGTCCCCAGCACCTCACACAGTGCCTGGCACAAGGTAGATGTTTAGCACAAATTTGTTGAATAACTAGCATGAGGAGCTGGCTGGTCTGGTCCTTGGAGTTCTGTTGTACATCTCCTCCAGGCAAGTGTGCCGAACTGTTGGTACCCTGGCAGGCAGGAAAAGAGAGGAAATCAGGGCCTGGCAAGAGTCCTACCTGAAGCAGCTGCAGGTCCCAGAAATGCCCCCACACATGCCCCTGGCACAGGCTATAGCTTTCATCAGAATCTCAAAGGGCGTCCCCTCCCCCAGTTGTGGGATGTGGGGTACAAGTGCAAAAGCCACAGCCTCTCACCCTAAACCCCAAGGTTCCTCCAGACAGCACGGGGCCCAGGGAGAAGGAAGGGACGCGTGCTCACGGGGAGGGGAGAACTGGGATTAGGAAGCGGATGTCTCCAGAGTCAGGCAGCCCTGCATTTGAATCCCAGCTCTTACTGGGTATGTGTTTTCTCTCCTCAGTTCCTCATCAGCAGAGCTATTTTGCACAGATTAAATGAGTTAAAGAATTTAAAGTATTCAGCATAGTACCTGGTACAGAGCAAGCAGTTGATAAATGAGAGCGTACTATTTGTGTTAGTAACTCTGGGGGTGGGGGTGAGCTGTGGGTCTGGCCAACAGCAAAAACGACTTGCTGGGGAGCTGGTTGTTCTGACCAAATCTAAGAGACTTAATTCTGAAGAACCTCCTCGCCTCCTAGCATCATCCATTGGGGTTCATTCACATCTAGGCATGCCAGGCACCGTTCTGGGCACTAGGGATACAGATGTGAACAAAAGATAAATCAAATTGACCTTGTGGAGTTTGCTCAGGGGCTGGCACGTGGCAGAGCCTGTTTTTAAGCCATTCTGTGTAGGTGAGCCCCTTGAAATTGTGGACAGTGCTTTATGTGAGGGGAATGTCCCCCTATTTAATCAGATTCCATTATCCCTTAACTTAGATTACAGATTTATTTTATTTACTTTTACATATTTGAAAAATTATTTTTAAATAGCATAAGCTCAAAACTTACATTCACACAAAAACCTGCACGCAGATGTTTATGGCAGCTTTATTTGTAATTGCCAAAACTTATAAGGGACCAAGATATTTTTCAGTAGGTTGAATGGATAAAAGAAACTGGTACATCCAGACAATGGAACATTATTCAGTGCCAAAAGCAAATGAGCTATCAAGCCATGAAAAGACATAAAGGAACCTTAATTACATATAATTAAATGAAAGAAGCCAATCTGAAAAGACTATAGACTATATGATTCCAACCATATGACATTCTGGAAAAGACAGAACTGTGGAGACGGTAGAAGATCAGTGATTGCCAGGGGCTGGAGGGAGGGAGGGAGGGATGAACAGGCAGAGCACAGAGGATTTTCAGGGCGGTGAAACTACTCTGTATGGGGCTATGATAGTGGGTACTTGTCATCCACTTGTCCAGACCCATGGAATGTACAACACCGAGAGTGAACCCTAGTGTAAACTGGTGCGTCAGTGTAGGTGATTGGTTATAACAAACATACCACTCAGCTGGGGCATGTTGACAGTGGGGGAAGCTGTGCATGTGGTGGGGGGAGGGGGAGTTTAGGAACTGTGCTCCGTGCTCAATTTTGTTGTGAATCTAAAACTAAAAATTAAAGTCTATTTTTTTAAAAGAAAATAAACATAAATTATACTGTTGATGTAAGTCCATGGATTGGTGTCTGAGAGGGTTGTCTCTGAATTCTGTCAAGTTGTGTGAGAAACGTGGTCTGTATGTGGCATTTTTCTGACCATGGCTGTAGCTTTCATCAGAATCTGAAAGGGCGTCCCCTCCCCCACCTGTGGGATGTGGGGTACAAGTGCAAAAACCACAGCCTCTCACCCTAAACCCCAAGGTTCCTCCAGACAGCAGAGATGGTGAAGCCCTCCACCCCGTCCCCTAGCCACGAGTCCAGCAGCTCATCAGGCTCCGATGAAGGCACCGAGTACTATCCCCACCTGGGTGAGCGGCTTTCTGGGGGCTGGAGGGGTAGGCAGGAGGAAGAATGAGAGGATGAAAGCCGGGAGCACTCTGGGGAAGTGGGGAGAGGGAAGAAGTGAGGAATCTGGGAGGAGCATTTCTGAAAGTTGTGAGGAGAACAGTCAAAAAGGATTAGCTGCTACTTCCTCCCAGGTTCCCACTGCCTCAGTCCAACCCTGGCCACTGAGGGCATGTACCCTGAGTCTGGTCTGACTCCATGACTGAATGGGACAGGCCCAAGGTCAGACTGTTTCTGGGTCCCTGGCATCTCCCAGCACAGGGCTGAGGAAACAAGTGTTGGGTGAATCCCGAGTGGCCCCCATCCACATATTCTCCCTCCTCCGGCCTTTGCACATGCCATTCCTTTGCCTGCTGTGTCCTTTCTCTGTTCTGCTTCTCTTCTGCAAAGATCTAGTTCATTTATTACCCCTCACATCAGACTGGGAGCTCCTTGAGGGCAGAAACTAGATCTGACTCACCCCTGGGTGCCCTGCATTGCCCTGCACAGAACCTGTTGCTAAAGTGAAGTTACATAAATATTTACACAGTGATCTGAACTCAGGGGTAAGGACAGATCTTTGGGGTGAGAAAGGGGACTTTATGAGGCCAAGTGCCATCTGCCTCACAGGACCTGTCTCCTCCCACCCTCAGTCTTCCTACAGAACAAAGCTCGCCGAGAGGACTTCTGTCCTCGGAAGCTGCGGCAGATGCACCTGATGATCGACCAGCTCATGGCCCACTCCCACTTGCGTTACAAGGGTGAGGATTTCCAGATCACCCCCCGAGCTAGCCAACGGCTTCCTAACTCCTGATCCAATCCCATGGCAGAAGCCCCCAGACTAGTCTCCTAACCCTGCCTCGACTATCAACTACCCCCATCCCTCCAAACCTGTAATATGGTACCTGCAAACCAAAGCATTTTCTTCTCCAGGTACATTGTCCATGTTACAGTGCAATGTCTTCCCGGGGCTCCCGCCTGACTTCCTGGACTCTGAGGTCAACTTGTTCCTGGTGCCCTTCATGGACAGTGAAGCAGAGAGTGAAAACCCACCAAGAGCAGGTACAGTGAGGCCACACAGGAATCTGGTTCATGGGGAGACAGTCCTGGCCTGGTCAGGGAGAGACGCAGGCCACGCTGGCCTAGGAGGTGACGTGGGCTGCCCTGGTTTGAGAATGGTGTGAACCCATCTGGTCTGAAGGAAGACTCTGGCCTGTCCCCAAGGTGCTTGGACCCTTTCTTAGGAACAAGTTTCAGAGTCACGAAAGTACAGGAAGAAGTGGGCGAGAGCTGAGTGAGGTACTTCTTGGAACCCAGGATGCTGTTAACCAGGAGGGAGACCCTCTCCTGGCAGTCTATCCCCCTAATCCTCCCTGCCTCAACTTTCCAGGACCTGGTTCCAGCCCACTTTTCTCCCTGCTGCCCGGGTATCGCGGCCACCCCAGTTTCCAGTCATTGGTGAGCAAGCTCCGGAGTCAAGTGATGTCCATGGCCCGGCCACAGCTGTCACACACAATCCTCACTGAGAAGAACTGGTAAGAACGCTTTACAGAAGGGGTCAGTCTGAGGTCCTCCCACTGTGCAGCCAGAAGGGGGCTTTCAGAGATCTGTGTGACCTCATTGAGCCCCTCCTCTCCAGACCTCAGGTTCCTTTTCCCAGAACAGTGTTGGTTGCCGCCATCTTGTAAGCACCTCACCCGAGCTAAGCAACGTGCTGTTTTCATCGGACTTCGAATCCTCCTGATTAGCCAACGGGGTATAGGTCTTGTCACAGATTTTACTGGTGGGGAAATTTAGGCTCAGAGAAAGGTGTCACATAGCAAGATCACACACCTGTGGTTAGGTGCCATTTGATTGCTGAGAGTAGGACCAATGAGCCCAGTTAAGCTTGAAGATTTATTCCAAGGACCTGGTCACAGAAATCATAGCCTTACAGGAGACAGGAAGCAGAAAGCCATCCGAAGCCACAGGAGCTGCACTCTCCAGCTCCCACTGGGTAGCACGGTGTCATCGTCCCCGCTCATTTCCCTCCTCTGCCTGCCGGCCTTCTCCCCCTGCTTTCACGTGGCCTTGCACCACCTCCCCAGCCCCTACGTGACTTCCGTGTCCAGAGCCCGCAGCAGATGGGTCCACATCTGCCTCTTCTTACTTCAAACAGAAAGAAATTTGAAAGAGAAATAGCTTGGCTTTCCAGGGTCTGTTTGCAGTCAGCTGTGGCCAGAAGGGGCTGGGGTGCAAACACAGCAGCAGGAAGCCACTCAGGGCACCTATGCGGAGGTGGCATTCAGTCCCGGCAGTACTCTCGTTGGTGTAAACTAGGGCCCAGTGGAAAGGGGAAGAATTGGGAGGTAGAAGGTTGGACAGCCGCTGTTAGATGTTTCCTGTTGTCATAAGACTCTGGAGGGAGGTGGAGATAGAACCCTTTACCACGGAGGCCAGCACTGAGTGCAGTGGGAGAAGTTTAGACCTCAAGGTGTGGATTTGAGGTCTTAGTCGAAGCCCAGGCACTTTCAGCTTCACTTGACCTGGGTGAGCTACGAGGAGCAGGGCCACCTCCCATCAGTGTTAGCAACTTCCCTGCATCCCAGTCAAGGAGACGGGGCTCCAAGAGGCTCAGAGTCACAGCTCAAGTCATATACATGGGCCTCGGTTTCCCTACCTGTGCAGGGCTGGCGCTAGGCCGAGTGCAGCCCCAGCCAGGGCATCCCTGACTGTTGACCTCCTCTCATAGGTTCCACTATGCTGCCCGGATCTGGGACGGGGTAAAAAAGTCCTCTGCCCTGGCAGAGTACAGCCGCCTGCTGGCCTGAGGCCGAAGGGAGGAATGTCATGCAGGGAACCTCCTGAGTCTCCAGTGGACGGCGAGGGAGCACACATGTCCTTCCCCCAGTGGGGAGGAGAGTGGCGGCAGGCCTCATAGATGAGGGATCATGACCCCCGCCCAGGGACATGAGGTGTCCAGGGCCAGGTCCCAGCCCTCAATTGGGGGCTGTTCAGGGGGTGACTTTAAGAGATCCCATCCCCAACCTGAGACAGGGCAGCCCATCCAAAGTCCCCCACAGGGGCAGGCAGTGGGAGGAGTCTGAATGGTCACCAGGAATCCCAAAATCCATCTCAATCTTCAGGGACAGAAGAAACAGGTCCCTCTTCCCTGACTCTAAGCCCTTCCCTAGAAGGTGAGGCAGAGTCTTGAGAGCTCTTTATTGGAACAGATGTGGTGATTCAAATAAACACAGTCATACAAACCTGTTTTCATGTTCCTCTTACTCCCCTCTACCCAGTGTGCTGCCCCGGGACCAGGGCAAATCTGAGATCCAGCCCTTGTGGACGGATTATCCCTTGGCAGCCCACTGGAGCTTGAATGAACTTCCCTCGGGGACACATTCGCAGTGGGTCATAGAGTTGTCAGGAGCGAGTGGAGACCAGTCTCTGCTAAGGAGGAAGCTCCTAGAAAGGGCTGTTCTGCTGCCCGGGGTGGCATCAAGCCTCCCTTCTGTGTGTGTTTTGGATAGGAAAATACACTGCTCGGCTAAATACAGTGATTACCTTTGTGTGCTCTGCTCTCAGCTGAAGACCGTTACCTCCTTTGGGTTAAATGCCTAGTTAAATACAATGCCTGCTTTTGGTTTAAAGAATAGAACCTGTCCTTAAATACAGTACTTATCCTTAGTTCAAACACCACACCTCACCGTCACCGACAGTGCATACTGTTGGTTAGACGTGGTGGCTTCCTTCCCTTACACACCTCATCTACTCTGGCTTAAAAACAGCAGTTCCTACTTTTAATTTAATATAAATCCAGAACATATGGTAGCTCAGTTAAATACACTATAAGGTTTGATAAAGTACTAACCCGTATCTGCTCAGTTAAATACAGTACATACTCTCAGTTCAGTGTTTCCTAAAGTATGTCTCCAAATTGGCCTTGCCACCCCAAATCAGTCCTTACGAGCAAATCATGCCAACCTACCGTCAGTAAAGCAGGTCTGGTCCAGCCAGCTGAGTCCCTTGTCTACCCACTAGCACCGCCCCCACCCCATGCCACTTCTGCATCTCCTTGTCCCTCCTGCTTTGGGACATACCCATACCACCCTGGTGTTTCATGTGATGGGTATCCCAGGGCCTTTCGAGAGAAAAGCATGACAGAAGGGGGTGGAGGGCAGTGAAGAAAGCGCTCAGCAGGCCAAAGAAGGTTAGGCCAGAAGTGAGGTATCTGTACAGGTCTCTAGAGGGGCCAAGGTCTGGGAGGTACAACACCCAGGGCAGGCTCTGGCGCTGCCACCTCCTGACTGACCTTAGGCAGGAGCCTCCCCTCTGGCCACTATGCCAATGTTAAGGCAGTCCTCAAGGCCTGTTAGAGCTGTGGCATTTACTGTCCTGTCACAGAAAAGCTTCTGAATCCCTTGCCCCACCGTCCAGTCTGTGTAGAAACCCTCCCAACTGCCCTTCAGCTAGATAACTGAGCTCTTGCCTGCCTTGTCAAAACATCTGTCGATGTCCCATCCCCACCCCTGCTTCCCAGGGGGTCTATCTGCTGGTTGACTTGGGGTTGCCAGAATGGGGAAGGTGGGGCCAAAGGTGTAAGATCCAAGGCACGAAAACACAAGACAGCACATGGCTGGGTCCAGGAAAGTTGAAGCTTGAGTTTCTTTCCCATCCCCCAACACCATGCAGCTGGAGACGGGTAGAACTGTGTCCTTCCGGCCCTTCCCTGCCACCTCTAGCTGGTCTGGGATCAGGGCTGAGATTGATTGGATTCACTTGGGATCTTGTGGTCGGTCTTGTCAAGGGGAGTCTGAATCAGCATGCTCTGGGTGTCTGTGGCTGCCACGTCGAGGGACGTGTGAAGCGTCTGGTAGATGGTGAAGGAGGTGCTGCAGGAGGTGGCCAGGGTGCCTAGGATGGGTGAAGCCTGGCCTGGCCTCTCCACCACCAGTGCCATGGTGACCTTGGCCCATAGGCCCTGTCCTGCCTCTGGGATTCTGTGCAGGGGCTGGCCCATTTGTTCAGCCAGCTTGACAAGGGAGTTGTGCTATGGCAGTAGCCTTCCAGGGGGTGGATGAGTGTGTAGGTCTCACGCCACACCCAGTATGCCTGGTACAGGACTCAGGTTGATGCTACAGGCCTCTGTGGCCACCAGCCAGATATGCGCCGCAGGGAGGCCTTCTCTAGGATAGGCTGCAAGATGTTGGGCATAGCCACCAGAAACGCCTCCTGCTTGTGGCTCTCCCCTTCATCCCCAGCAGGTGGAAGTCACCCTAGCCCGGTTCAAACATGGAGAGTAGGAAGATCTTGGGATCCTTCACGCCTTCTACTGCAGGAAACGTGAACACGGTTCAATCAGTTGCTATGCTGGAGCAGGCCGTGTACTGCCAGGTACTGACGGCTGCCTGGGCTCAAGCACTTGTTATGAGCACAGCACTTGGCTTAAGAAGACCAGCCCTGGAGCCAGAACACCTGAGTTCAGATCGGAGCCTTGCCACCTACACCCGTGTGGCCTTGAGCATGTTACCAAACCTCTCTGACTGGTTTTCTTATCTCCAAAATAAGATGATAATTATCTACCTCCTAGGAGTGTTGTAAGTTGAGCTCCCGAAAGTGGTGCCTGGCCTATTAGGTGCCTTAGTCATCCTCAGGGGCTGGATCTGCATGGGGCACATGGCATTTGCAGCACTCTGGCTTTGCAAATACATGAGCCAATACATACCCTTTTTTCGTAATACAAGCGATTGGCCTCTGTCACCAGTGACCGAGAAGTGCCGACTGTCAGGAAATGGCAGCTGTCAGCATTATTTCACTGTGGGGCCCAGTTCAGTTACACAGTGTAACCTTGAGTGACCCCTTTTCCCACTCTGGGCCTCTGCTGGAAGACGAAGGGGAAGGGGCAGGCAATCCCTCAGGGATCCACCCACCCCAGCCCCCCAGAGTCTGCGCCTGACCCTCCAGCTCTGCTCACAGCCATCCTGGATCTGGCTGGGCCCACTGTCCTCAGGACAGGTGCTGAGCGGCGGCTGTGGGGAGTGGCAAAGTCCATGTCCGTCTGGGAGCGGAGGAAGTAGCAGCACTTGCCCTGCTGCAGGGTCCCACAGCCAGCTGGGCACAGCTGGCAGTGAAATGCTCTGACGTAATGATGATGATCAAGCCCTAACAGTCCAGCACCTGCTGGAGGTGTTTGTCAGCCTGGAAGGTGGCTGTGCCTGTGCCCAGCAGATCCCAGATGATGACATTGGGGTGCTTGGGCGCAGGTGTGCAGTGTGGGGTTCACTGTCATTTCTACCATGCCCATGCAGGCTGAGTTGGGGTCTTCATCTTGTAGCCCCTCAGGGTGTTGACAGGTCAACTTGCTTGAGCCTGTCCCCCAGGTAATGCCAATGTCCAGCCTGGCATTCTCCAGGGAACAAAGTGTGGCCTGCAACTTGGCAGCTGCTGCTGGCAGGTTGCCCGCCTCGAGGACCTCCGTCAGAGCTCTGGCCTCCTCTGGCGACAGCATCAATATCTTGAACTGAGGCTTGGCAGGGCTTTGCTTGCCATGGGCTGCCTGATGCCTAGTTCTCTGTCTTCAGAACTTGGTGACCTTCAACAGGACAGGTAAGGGAGTGTTTTCACTCTGGGTTGCCCTCTCTCCAGATCCCTCTGCATGTTTGTCGTGAATTTGTGTAATATAGCTGCTGCCTTGGCATCCACTTTTAGACCTTAAGTTGTCTGAAACCCAGTCATACCTTGTCCTCTTGGCCTAGTAAAGACTTCCCTTCCCCTCGTGGCCGTTTGCAATATAGCCCACTTGTTCCTCTTCTCACTGGCCAAAAACAACACATCCCACAGTGGCTGACCATGATGAAACCTAACAGTCAATGTCAGGTCATGCGAATTTCCCCCTTCCAGCATGTTTTCTTTAAAATCGCGATCCACACCCCACCCCCATGGGGCAGCCCAAGGGATAACACCCCTGGGCCTTAATAAAGGCATAGGCCACAGGTTCCTGCCCTCCTGCTCACTCTCCCACCCACTGGCTAAGCTCCCTGCCCCCTCAGACTTCCCATCAGCCTCCTGTTGGCACCCCTAACCTCTGCCTCTGAGTAAGACGTTTCTTCTGTTACATGCATCTTCGTTTCACCTTCTTGTGTCTCACCTGACACACAGCTGTGAAAGATGATCATAGGAACTGGGTCATTCTTGTCATACCCAACTAAGCCAGAGTTGAGGGGCCAGGGGAAAAAGGCACTTATAGTATATACAGTGTTGCTCTGAAAATGTAATTCTCTGCAAGTCCAGCTGCTGAAACTGCCTGCTGTATAACCTGAAACCAGTTTTATCTGTAGCTACTGAGATAACTTCTGCAACTCAAGGACTAATTTTGCCCGCCACTGTCACCCACCAGTCAGAGCTTGCCAACTCCCCAGAGCTTTACTAACACCAATGAACTTCCTCTCAGGACCACACGTAACATGCCTCTTTTTTTATATAAAACCTCCAACCTTCTCTTTGTTCTTCAGGCATACCAAAGACCACCTGGTCTGCGTGTATGGCCCAAAATGCAATTCTTTTTTTTGCAAATAAAGCATTAAATTTAGAAATTCTTCTCTACATTTTTATTTTTACTTTGACATACATAGTGTCTGAAGTGGGGTCAAAGCTGATTAACCTCGGGGAGAATCACCAGCCTTTGGAACTACGGCATGCAGTACCCATACGGGGACTCTTTGAACCCCTTGCTTCTGTGGGTCACCCCCTCTCCCCTTAGACAGACTCCTGGATTTGGTCGAGTTCTGTTTTATTTGGAATTTGGTTGGGAGAAATCTTTCCCCCAGGCTTAGGAGATCTCCTGTTAGGGAGGGTTAATTTCCTACTGTTGATCTCAGCTGTGAGGTTTGGACCTCAGGGATAGGATGAGGGGATTTTTCCCTTCATTTGGGGAAGGCTTATTGTCTTTCCTGGTAAGTATGTATTTTATTTTCTGTCAGCGCTGTGTGTTTTGTTTGTTTGAGAGAGGGTCTCACTCTCTTGCCTGGGCTAGAGTGCAGTGGCGTGATCATGTCTCACTGCAACCTCAAACTCCTGGTCTCAAGCCATCCTCCTGCCTCAGCCTCCCAAGTAGCTGGGACTAGAGGGGCACATCACCACGCCCAGCTAA